TGCGGTTGGCCTGTGGCCGCCGTCGCTTTCATTTCGCTGCTCCTGCTCAGGCGGTAAATCTCGCCTGACGGGGCAGGAAGAGGCACCGAGTGCTGGGAGGGGGAGGAGGTGCCGCTGCTGGTTGGTAACCTCGGCACTTCCTCCCAGCAGGGTGTCTTTCCCGCGGCACCCAGGGATGCTGCCCTGACACCCGCATCCCCCGGGTGCGTGACCCCCTGGTCCCAACAATGGCTGCGTCACCCGGCGGGATCTCCGCGGAGCTGCAAGGTAAGAGTCGCCCGCCGCCGCGCCGACGGGGCACTGATGCCACATGGAAACCGCCGGTGTGGGGCCTGCTCGGCCCCGGATTGCTGTGCCGGGGTTGGCAGAGCCGCGTTTGGGTTCTTTGTCGGTGGTTCAGGGGGGTCCAAGCAGGGGCCGGGGTGCGAGGGCTGCTCTTGTCCCCCAAGTTCGCATGCTTGAGGATGCTGCTTGGGCCAAAAGCATCCCCAGAGAACAAGCTGGATCCTCGTGGATGTGGTTCTCCGTGGTTCCTGCTGCCCGGTTTGTGGGTGCAGCCTGGTGCTGCTCAATCCCACGGACCTGGGGTCCCCAGCAGTTCCCCAGGGAGGCATGGCCCTCAGCCCTGTCCTGGAGCCTGGCAGAGTGGGGGATGCGTGAAGTACCACTGCTCCCCTCCTCCCCTCGTCTGACTGGAAAGGCAAAAGGCCATGGAGGTCTGGGGGTCCTGCAGCCTCCCCAGCCCCACTGAGGTTTGCAGAGGGGTGGGAAGGAGATGGGTCGCTGCCGCTCCAGGTCCTGGCTCTGCTAGGACGGGTCCCTGGGGACATGGAGCTCGAGGCACTGGACCCGTGGGTCTCTCGGCAGCCTGGGAGAGGGCTAGAGCAAGTGGTGGTGGTGGTGTCACAGCCTCGTTCGCTTTGCCTGGCGATGGGCAGCTGTGGTTCTGATCCCGCTCCTCCGAGCGAGGGGTGTGAATCGGGAGAGACGGGGGGTGATGCTCGAGGCAGGGTGATGCTCGCGCTGATCCTCAGCCACCGTGGGAGTGACCGGTTTGCAAGCGCGGGGAGGCCAGCACGCATGACCACCCGTGCACGTCACGGCCAGGAGAGGTGCCGAAAAATGCAGACTAGATGTTCCTGGTTGGAGGTGGGGAGGTAGGACTTGGGTGCAGAGTTACTCCCCGGTGCTGAATTTGGGAAGGAAGAAGGAGAAACTAGGACCCTATTGTTGCCCAGCGCCAGCCCACCATGTGTGTGTCCAGTGACCCCGAAGCCCCGTGCTTGGCCAAGGCTGCAGCCTGGGCTGCTGGAGCCCCTGGGAAGGTGGGTTCATCACCCGAGCAACCGACAAGGCCCGAAGCTGGTGAAGTAGCTGAGAGCAGCCAGGGTCTGGCTGCCGGCTGTGGGTGGAGAGGAGGTGATCCAGGCAGCGACGTGGGGGGTCGGTGTCTCCAGGGGCAGCAGTGCCTGTGAGAGAGGACAAGCCATCTCGCTTCATGGGGACATTGGTCTTTTCAGGGGGCATTACTGCCTTTCTGGGGACAAAGAAGGTCCTTCTGGTGACAAGCGTCCAGCTGCAGGTGAAATCCAAGTACGACGACTATATCTTGGTACGTGTGGAGTCCAGCCTGGTTCCCTTCCACGGTTTCCCCAGGCTCTATTTCGTGGCCACAGCAGGGGAGAGGGGTGGCTCCCGTGCCGCCGCAGTCCCCTGTCACACCAATGTCCCCTTGCCTAGGTGCTGACACCCTGGCGAGCCTACGTGCTGCTGGTGACGCTGCCGGTGAGGGTAAGTGCCGGGGACCCAGCGCCGCGGTAGAGCCCTGCGGCTCCCAGGAGGGCATCGCTCAGCTGCTTGGGGCAGCGGGGTGGGTGACCCGTGGGTCACCTAGGTCAGAGAAGCCTGCAGGAGGAGGAGGATGGGGTGAAGGGGAAGGGTCAGGGGGCTGGTGAGGGCTTGAGGGCATGGCCAGGCACTACTCGGTGCAGGGGAAAGGGTGGGAGCTGAGGGGGCACCCTTGGGTCCCCCTTCTCCATTGGTGCCAGGCCTGATCCTGCTCCTCTCACCCACAGGTTCACAGCAGCTTCAGCTTCCTGGAGGTGAGGGAGATGACGGTGCGGGAGCCCAGCTTGGTGAGTGGCACCCACACCCACGGCAAACCCAACCCGGGCACCCACCCACCTTGTGCCCAACTCCCCCCACAGCAAACCCTGGCCAGGAGCCCACCGTGATGTCTGGGGGTGTTCTGGCTCCCTGTTGCATGTTGAGGGTCACCGAGGGTGACCAGGGAGACCATCGAGGGTCCCTTTGCTACCTCTAAAGAAAACCCTCTTACGGCCTCACCTGTGGTATCGCCCTCGGGGCTGGAGGTTCGGGGAGGCACCCAGGGGTGCCGAGGGCGAGCATGGGTACCGGCAGCGCCCGGCCGCGGCGCCTCCCGCTCGGCAGGGACAAGGTGACAAACGGCCGCTGGCTTACCGAGGCGAAGCCAAATTTAGCAGAAGGGTGTTTTAAACCCCGTTAATCCTCTTAGAGAGGCGTGCGTGTAGGGCAGATGCAGAACGGGTGGGAACGGCGGAGGAGAAGGATGGGATGCCCTGGTTCAAGATGTGTTGGCCAAAACAGGGCTGCGGTCCTCGTTAATCTCTTGCTTTAACGAGCAAAAGACAGCCATCGTCAGTGACAACGGCCCCAGCCTCTAAACGGGGCTTCGGCTGCTCGGCGGGCTGTGTGGCTGAGCTCCAGGAGAGCGAGGGGTGCTGGGGGTTGGAACCCCAGCGGGGAGGGGTGGCGAGACTGGGACATGGAAAACCCAGGGGTTGTTAATGTGCAGGCAGGGTGCAGGCAGGGCCCCGGGCGCTGGCGGAAGCACCGTCCCTGCGTGGTGCCAGCAGATAATTGTCATCTCACTCCCACGCCTCAATCAGCGTGTCATTAAATCAGGGAGCGTGTTGCCATGGGATTTTTTTCTTTTTTTCCCCCTAGTAGGAACCGAAAGCTAAAAAAGCTTCAGAACCCAATTAGATAAATTTGGGGAGGAAACCTCCATCCTCCAGCTGTGGCTGCGGCAGTGTCAAAGCTACTCTCCGCCCCCCTCTGCTTTGGGCTGCTTCTGCATTAGCTCAGCTTGAATTCTGGGGCGGTTTATGCCTTATTCTGGCACATTACAATCTCTTTAATGTATTTTATTCTAAATTCCTGGTGCTCGCAGCCTTCCCTGTGTTCACAGCGCTCTGGGTGGGTTTATAAGTAGCAGCTGGGTGTTTGCAACGAGGAGCTGATGGCTGTCACCCTCGTGTCTGGGGGGTTGGGGATGCTGCGTGCTGCCAGCTCAGGCAGGCCCCATCCTTTGGACCCTGCAGGTTGTCATAGAAATGGACGCAGCGTCTTACGCCTTCCGGTTCATGTCCTTCGATGATTTGGAGCAAGTCATCATCCATGTCACCATGTCACTTAAGAAGGTCTTTCCAGACTCCTCCCCTGGGTAAGGGTCTTCTGCTCCTCAGGGGTATTTGTATAGGTATCAGAGCAAATGGGGCTCAGAAAGGCCCCAAATATGGGATGGGTTCACAATTAGCACCTTCTAACAGGAGAAAACCACACTGATGGGGACCAGACCCTGCTCCCTGATCGGATCGGGAGGGATATTTCTGGCCACCCTCACACACAGGGGCTGTAGCTAACCATAAAGTGGTGGGGGGTGCTCTTCTCCCAGCCCACCATCATGCCACCCCTCTGCTCCTTCCCCAGGACGCTGCTCAAGAACTCCACCCCCAGCCTGTACGAGAGGATCCGGCGGATCACAGACTCGCTGGAGGAGATGCTGCAGAGCAGCCCCGGGCCCTGCGGTAAGCCCTTTCCCTCCCCCATCTGCCCCAGGATGGGTCAGGAAGGTTGGAGGGCCCTGGAAACCAGCCCAGCCCAGCCCCCACCTCTGCTGGCAGGACCCCCATGGTGGCTGGGGTCAGGAGGAGCCCTGCTACTGGGGTCTGCTCTCCACCAGCCCACCCCATCCTATGGGGCAGAAGCAGGTTTGAGGGGTTGCAGGAGATCTGTGGGGCAAGGATGCTTCCTGTCTACCTGTAAGAATGTGCAGCTGTGGAAGCTTCCACCCGCCTCGTACGGCATCGCTGCAGGGCCAGGGGCTTTTCCTGCAGCTTGGTTTGGAGTAGGATACCTCCCTTCTCCTCACGCAACGCGCCTTGCCTGCTACCCACATGGATCGAGTTGTGTGATTGCTTTTGGGCTGGCAGCACATGCAGGACACACTGGCTCCTTTGAGGAGGGAAAGGAGAGCCTCCACCATCCTTTTCCTGCTTTCTGCCCTCCCAAAAGGTCTGTTCCTTGTTCCCATGGGAAGGTCTGCCACCAGGACTGCCTTCTCTTTGCAGGGGGGTTTTCGGAGACCTATGCTGCTTTGTGTGATTACAACGGCTTCGCCTTCCGCGAGGAGATCCAGTGGGTAAGCTGGTCTGTCCCATGGGGAAGAGGCGGTGGCAGTGTGTCTCTTGATGGACAGGGAAGCAGGATGCTCATGGATGCTCCAGACAGCAGTCTCATGGGGCAGCTGGGGCACCCCAGAGCTGGGCACTGCGGTTTTGCGTGGCTTGAGCGCACCCTGCTCCTTGGTGGGGTGGAAGCAAGGCGCGGATGGGGATGTGATGCCTCGAACCAGGTTCTTTCCCAGACTGTCATGTAAGGAGAGCCCCTGGACACCTGGGACTTTGCTGGGTGTCCCTAGTAGAGGAGAACCCTGCTGGGACCCAACCACGGCAAGACCAGCTGTCCCCCTCATTCTCTGGGACAGCCCACCTACCCCCCCCACCTTGGCCAGTCCCTGCAGGAGTGGTCCCAGACCCACCAAGCCATCCCACCAATTTAGGATGTGCCCTGCCAGCCCCAGTGCCAGAGGAGGCTTTAGGGTCAGAGTTTAGGGCAGGGTCCCTGAGGGTTCAGCTCCCTCCAGCAGCGCCAGGCACCCGAGTCTTCCTCAGGACTGGATGCAGAGCCTGACCCAGGTGTCCATCCATCCGTGCAGGATGTGGACAACATTTACCACAGCCAGGACTGCCGGGAGTTCAACCTGCTGGACTTCAGCCACCTGGAGAGCCGGTGAGTCCCCCAGCTGCACCCCATGTCACACCATCACTTGTCCCCATCCTCCCTGTCCACATCAGGGGTGGCTCAACACACTCCTCTGCTCATCTTAGAAGCTTTTATCGCTTTACACGCTCCAGGGACACCACATCTGCAGGCTGATGCTCCCCTGCACCAAACACTGAGCCCCGTCCCAGGGGGTGACAGCCCCAAGAGGCCAGGCAGCCCCCTCACGTTCATTTTTAACACTTAAATAAGCCGGCGAGCTGCTTATAGCGGTGAAACCCCAACGTCA